CGGAATCAGTGGAAAAACTCCAGTAACATGAATACCAGAGTAGAACAACCGCCCTGCCAAGGAACAATACAGTGGACACAACTGAAGATCCCCTTTATAAAGATGGCTGAGATGTCAGAAATCGAGTTCAGAATTTGGATTGCAAATAAGATTAAGAGAATGGAGGTCGAGTTGGAATTAGAAATTCAAGGAGTATTTCAAAAGTTGTCTCAAGAATGCAATGAATACAAAGACTAAAGATTAACACATTGAGACAAGAATTTGCAGCCCTCAAAGATCTGAGAAATACAGTACAATCCCTCAATAACAGAATGGAGCAAGCAGAAGAAAGGATTTCTGACATTGAAGACAAAGCTTTTGAAAGTTCCCAAACACTCACAGAGGAAGAGAAGGGGAGAGCAAAAACAGATCATTCTCTCAGAAAGCTCTGGGATAATTCTACGAAAACTAATATTCGCCTTATAGGAATTCCTGAAGGCGATGAGGTGGCTTCACAAGACACAGAGGCTCTTCTTCATGAGATTATGAACTTTCTAGACATGCCAAGAGATTCTGAAATTCAGATAGCAGACAGTTTCAGAACCCCAGCATGACTCAACCCAAATAAGACTTATCCTAGGCACATTATAATTAACCACGCCAAAGTTAAAATGAAGGAGAAAATTCTGTAAGCTGCAAGACATAAGAAAACCATAACCTACAAGGGGAAAGATACTAGAATGACTGCAGATCTCTCTGCTGAAACCTTTCAAGCTAGAAGAGGGTAGTCGTCAACTTTTAATCTCCTAAAACAAAATAACTTTCAACCCAGGATCCTGTATCCAGCAAAACTGAGTTTCATTTATGATGGAAAAATTAAATACTTTAATGACATTCACATGTTGAAGAAATTTGCCATAACTAAACCAACTCTCCAGGATATTCTTAGACCTATCCTCCATAATGACCAGCACAATCCTCCACCACAAAAGTAAACTCACTCAGAAACTTTTGATCAAATTCCAGGGAAAGGATTAAAAATGTGCACTGGATCTTTGAAAAACTCGATACCCAAAATTCTACCAGGCTCATCAATATTTACAATTAATTTGAATGGCTTAAATTGCCCTCTAAAGAGGCACAGGTTGGCTGAGTGTATACAAAAACTCAGGCCAGATATCTGCCTACAAGAAACTGATCTCACCTTAAAAGATAAATATAGTGGCTCGGCGCCTGTGGCTCAAGTGGCTAAGGCGTCAGCCACATACACCTAAGGTGGCGGGTTCGAATCCAGCCCGGACCCGCCAAACAACAATAATGGCTGCAACCAAAAAATAGCCGGGCGTTGTGGCGGGCGCCTGTGGTCCCAGCTACTTGGGAGGCTGGGGCAGGAGACTCGCTTGAGCCCAGGAGTTGGAGGTTGCTGTGAGCAGTGAAGCCATAGCACTCTACCCAGGGGAAAAGCTTGAGGCTCTGTCTCAAAAAAAAAAAAAAAAAAAGATAAATATAGTCTCAGGGTGAAGGGATGGTCATCTGTATTTCAGGCAAACAGAAATCAGAAAAAAGCAGGTGTTGCGATTTTATTCACAGATACAACAGGCTTTAAACCAGGCATCCTCAAACTACAGCCCACAGGCCACATGCAGCCCGCCTAGGACATTTATCCAGCCCGCCTGGTGTTTTTGCCACTGCTGCCTGTCCTGCTTAGCAGCCGACCTGTCCCGGGGCCCACAGTCTGGCCCTCCAACGGTCTGAGGGACAGTGAACTGGCTCCCTATTTAAAAAGTTTGAGGACCCCTGCAGTTTAAACCAACAAAAGTAAGGAAAGGTAAGGATGGTCACTTCATATTTGTTAAGGGCAACACTTGACATGATGAGATTTCAATTATCAACATTTATGCACCCAACAAGAATGCACCTCAATTTATAAGAGAGACTCTAACAGACATGAGCAACTTGATTTCTTCCAGCACCCGAATAGTCAGAGACTTTAACACTCCTTTGGCATTACTGGATAGATCCTCCAATAAGAAGCTAAGCAAAGAAATTTTAGACTTCAACTTAACCATTCAACAATTAGATTTTACAGACATCTACAGAACATTTCACCCTAACAAAACTGAATACACATTCTCATCAGCCCATGGAACACACTCCAAAACTGGTCACATCTTAGGTCACAAGTCTAACCTCAGCAAATTTAAAAGAAATTATTCCTTGCATCTTCTTGGACCATCATAGAATAAAACAGGAATAACAACAGGAATCTGCATACTCATACAAAGCATGGAAACTACCACAAAGGCAGTCCTAAGAGGGAAATTTATAGCACTGCAAGCCTTCCTCAAGAGAACGGAAAGAGAGGAAATTAAAAACTTAATGGGACATCTCAAGCAACTGGAAAAGGAAGAACATTCCAACCCCAAACACAGAAGAAAAGAAATAACCAAAATTAGAGCAGAATTAAATGAAATTGAAAACAAAAGGATTATACAACAGATCAATAAATCAAGAAGTTGGTTTTTTGAAAAGGTCAATAAAATAGATAAACCTTTGGCTAACCTAACCAGGAAATAAAGAGTAAAATCTCTAATTTCATCAATTAGAAACGGTAAAGACGAAATAACAACTGATTCCTCAGAAATTCAAAAAATCCTTAATGAATACAAGAAACTCTATTCTCAGAAATATGAAAATACGAAGGAAATAGATCAATACTTGGAAGCATGTCACCTTCCTAGACTTAGCCAAGATGAAGTGGAAATGTTGAACAGGCCTATATCAAGTTCTAAAATAGCATCAACTATATAAAATCTCCCTAAAAAGAAAAGCCCAGGACCAGATGGCATGGCTTTGTGTCAGAATTCTACCAAATCTTTAAAGAGTAGTAGTACCTATACTACTCAACCTTTTCCAAAATATACAAAAAGAAGGAATACTACACAATATATTCTATGAAGCAAACATCACCTTGATCTTCAAACCAGGAAAAGACACAAAAAGAAAAGAAAATTATAGACCAATATCACTAATGAATATTGATGCAAAAATATTCTACAAGATCCTAGCAATAAGAATCCAGCAACACATCAAACATATTATACACCATGACCAAGTGGGTCTCAAGGCTGGTTCAATATACGTAAATCTATAAATATAATTCATCACATAAATAAATTAAAAAACAAAGACCATATGATTCTCTCAATTGATGCAGAAAAAGCTTTTGATAATATCCAGCATCTATTCATGATCAGAACACTTAAGAAAAACTGGT